GTCGCTTACCAATAAGAGTTCTTCCACATGCAATTAAGTCAGGTCTACGTTGATATACATCTCTATCAATTATAAACATTTCTTGTTCTAATCCAATAGTACATTTAATAGGTCCTTTACTTCCTCCTAAATATTTTAATGATTTTTCAACAGAAGAACTTAATGCACGTTCACTTCTTAATAATGGAGTTTTTGCATCAAGAGATAATCCAAAGATTGAACAAAACACTGCTGGAATATATAAACATCCTCCTAATTGATCTTTTACAACAAATACTGGAGATGTATAATCCCAAGCTGTATATCCTCTTGCTTGATATGTTTGTCTTAATCCACCATTAGGGAAAGAAGATCCATCAGGCTCTCCTTTAATTAATTGTTTACCACTAAATTCTGACATTAAATGAGAAGCATGTGAAGAAACTCCATTTTTAATATTCAAGAAACAGTCAAATTTTTTTGCTGATTTTGAAGTTAATGGTTGGAACCAATGTGCAAAACAAACAGCCCCAAGTTCTTCTGCCCATTCTTTCATTCCAAAAGCAACGACATCAGCCTCTGATTCAGTTAATGAACCACCATTAATTAATAAGTTTTTAATTGTTTTAAATGTTGATGGTGGTAATCTTTTTTCCATTGAAGACTCATTAAAAACATAAACACCATAGTCATGTTGGATTTTCCCTTGAAATGGGGATGAATTTGTAGTAAATGTAGATGATTGTCTTGACATGAGATTCACTATTCCTTAAAGTAAGTTTTAGGGTTTGTAAGTGTTTTTCTTTCATTATTTCATTAAAATGAATCAATTATTTTTGAATAGATGAAAGAAATGTTATAGACTAAGTGTATCTAGCTTTTATCTCATAAGTTTTAGTTTAGTTTAACACAAATATTTTATTCAATATGTAGTCTAATAGAATTTATAATGTTGATAGAGTCGTTTCATTTTCACATAAAACAAAAACAAGAAGAATAATTACATTCTTTATAAATGAGTTAATAATTAAAGTACAAAGTATTACAACAAGAATATATTGATGTTAAAAGAGAAAATTAAAATATAATTTATTGTCTTAAAGAATCTATTATTTTGTTTAAATTTTTGGTTCTGCAATGAAAAATCTCATATTTTCTAAAGAAATAGAATTAACTAGTGTATTTAATAAATCAATAGAATCTGTTTCCACTTTGTTTTCTTTAATTAATTGATTTAATGCAACTTCTTTTGTAAATAATTTGATAAGAAATTCATGTTTTGTTTTTAGAAAACCAGATGCATCAGATGAGGATAGTCTTGTATGAAGTACACAATTATTAATAACTAATACTACACTTTCATTTGTATCAAAAATATTAATATTAATTGATGTATCTATTCCATCAATTATCTGTGGATTAACAGAAACTGAAAGAAGATCACAAAAAGCTTGTAATGGAAGTAATTGATATAAAGGACAATTATTTAATATTTCTTTAGGTTGATGTTCTCTCAATTCTAAAGCAGCTGTTGCATAACTATATTTCCAAACAAGACATTCTTGTGTATAACTTAATTGGTCATATGTTTTGGCTAATAATTCTCTTGCTTCTTCATTCTTTGGATTAGAAAATATCAAATGATTTAATATTGTTACTGCCCACCTATAATCACCATTATTAAATGCTTCCTTTCCAATATTTAAAGTATTTTCTTCTCCACCAAATGCTTTTATATACTTTCTTGCTAATTCTTTTGGAGGAAGTTCATTTAGATGTGCAGGATTACCATCATACCATCCAAGATATAATTGATATTGTGACTTAATATTAAAATTCAATGTACCATAAAGATTTCTACAACAAAATTCTTTAGAAAGACTTTTAGGTAAGTGAACAAATTCTGCTATTTCATTTGGTGTATATCCACAATTAGCATAACGTAATGTTTGGTCGTGGATATACTTATACAAGTCTCTTTTTGTTTTCCAGAAATGAAGAATCTTTTCATTTCCATACAATGCCCAATGATGTCCACCAAAATGAATTTGGACATCTTTTCCATATTTAACAATCACATCATCAATACATTGACTCCATAATTTCCCACTTCTAACTTTAGCACCTCTTGGAGTTAATAAATTATGCATTGCTTGAATCATATTATCTGCTGCACTTAAAGCATTAAAATCTGGGAGATACATCATCATATCTGCTGGTGATTCTGTGTTAAGAGTTAGAATAAAATCAAACTTTATTCCATCAATATCAATAGTACAATTCTCTTTAATAATTGTAGTGTGTTTTGAGTAAGGAATACTGACATTTATTGATGTTGGGTCTAATGAATTGCCAGTAACTTTTGTGCATGAATTTCTAATTCTAGACCCATACATAAATTCTCCTCTTCTTTTCATAGCTCCACCAGCCATAACACTTTCATCAAATATCATATCAAAGAAAGTATCTGGAACATATAATGGAATTTCATCATTTCCAACACCAGAATATCCACCAAAATGATCTCCATGGGAATGAGTAATGATAATAGCTGATACTGGAAGATTTTCAACAGTATTTTGAATCAATTCAAAAGCTTTTTTACAAGCTGAGATAGTTGACATACAATCAATAACAATCCATCCAGTCTTTCCTCTAACGACTGTAAAATTAGCTAAGTCTAGAGTAAATGCTCTGACTTGGTAAATCTTCTTTGGAACAATTTCAAATACTCCCTCCAATCTTTCAATATTAGCCCTCTTATAGTAAGATGGATTATCTGTAGGTGGACATTCTGAAATTATCTGACTCATTGTTTTTCTAGACTTGATTAGCTCATCAAAATTTAAATTGTTCTTTTGACCATCTAAAGAAGCATAAAATCCTCTCATAGCATCATGGTAATCAGTTTCTGAACAAATATCATACTCTTTCAGAAATTCTCTATTCTTTTCTATCACAAATTTACTAGCCATATCTCTATTGAACATATAAAGTTCAGTATCATCTTTTATAGCCATCATCAGAACAAAAGAAGAATATAGAAAGTACAATAAATGAATATTAGACAACTATTTTCTTCTTTTTCAATATTTTGATCTGTTGTTTTCTTAAAAAAGAATATCTTCAACTTGAAGCAAAGATGCAAAATATTGAATTTGTTATTCTTGTTTTTATAAAAATGTTTTTCTTGAATTATTTTTAGATTTTCAAAATCTTAAAGATTGAGGAATAGAATAAATGAAAATAAAACTGCTAAAACAAAACAAATGGACGTGGAGGGATTGTCATCTTGTCCTTCACAAGAAAATAATGCAATTCTAAAAGAAATACTCAGTTTGATCAAGGAAATCAATGGAATAGATATTAATGGATCAATGGAAAAATTCAATACGGTGATATGTGCTATTAAAGAACTTCAAGACCATTGTGAAATAGTTAACATTCTTAAGGAACTTATTCTTTCATATCAAAAAGCATCATTACCAATCCATACATTGACTGATGTTATTGATGGTATTTTAGATATTATTAAGGTATCAGCAGGAAATAAGAGCTTATATGGGACAAGTTGGAAATTATTATTAAAAGTTATTTGTGAAAAGGAAAAAGAAAACAATAAAGAAAGTTATTGTATATTAGACACTAAAATTAAAGTCATTACTAGGTATCTTCTTAATGAACTTAATGAAATAGGGAGAAATGGTAATATTAATCAACCTGCCTTTATGTTTCTTTCAAAAGTACTTCATTCATTAACTAAATTACATTCATTCAAAATACCAATCAAAGAAGTAAATAAAGAGTTAAGTGAATTAATGTTAATTCTTATTAATGATGCAAAAGAAAACACAGATGAATATATGATTACTATTAAAACTATTCAAGCATTTCAATTTATAATTGATGACTTAAATGAATTATCATTTCCTCTTCAATTTATTCTTCTTGAAGTTATATCAATAAACCAATATCAATATTTAGAATTAACACTACAATTATTAAGTCAAACATCTAAAATAACATACTCTTTTTATTCTTCTTTATTACAAAAAATATACAAATTATTACCATCTTTAATGCCAAATATGTCACAATTACTTCATCTCTTAAATTGTTATTTAAATGGAAATACTTTAACAAATTTATTTTGTACTCGAATACTCTATCTTATTGTTTGTATTACTCCTGTACAATATCGTCTTCGTATTGTTTCTAAACTTACAAATAATATCACTTTCTTACTAACTTTACTTTTAAATGACCAATCTAATGATTCAATACTTTCTTCTATCTACATTCAGCATTTAAGTAATCTTCCAGGAAATTCAAATTTACTTCGTTTTCTAAGAACTTCTCGACAAACACAATTACTTGTTTCTCATATTACTCAATGGAAAGAGGAAGAATTATTAAATATACTCACTCCTAACACTCTTGAAATCATTACCAAAGAAACTCTTCTAAACATTCACAAGTCATTATGTTCAACCCCATCTTTTCTCTCCTCAGTCATCCAAAGTATTATTTTCGAATACCTTCCAGAGAGGAACCAAACAATTCTTGTCTCAACCGTCGAGAAATCTATTGAAGGAATGCCATTAATTAATTATCTTGGAAAAGATGATGTTGTTCAAATTATTCAAAAATGCTCTTCTGAAGGAATAGAAGGAATGATTCGAATTATTTTATTTTTTCAATACGCACAATTCCAAGAAGCTAGTATTGTCAAAGAAGTAGGTACACCATTTAGTATACCATTTGTTCAATTCATTAAATCAAAACCTTTAATAGTATATTCTATACATCCTCAAATTGTCATTACATTAATTAGTAATGAAAGTATTCTTAAAGACTTAGAACAAGCCATTAAAAATGCCCGTAATAAAGTATTAAGAAATGGGAATGGAACTGAGTTGTGGAATATGTTTATTAGTAAAATAACCAAAATGACATTATAATAGATTTTATTATTTAAACTTCTTAATTTTATTGTTTTATTCACTTACTCATTAATCAAATTACATTGAAGGAGGTAATACTGGTAATTCAGTATTAATGTTCTTATCCATCTCGTCATCTTCATCATCAAAATCATCATTCTATTTGTTATTTTCTATTTTATTTTAATTATTTAATCATTTGTGTTAACAAACTGTTTTAACTCTATAATTTCGTTGTAATAATGTATAATTATCATCCTGTGGCTTTGGTAATTCAACAGAAGCAACAAAATTTCTTGGTAATTTAGCTGTATTACATGCATTAACTCGTTCTCTAAGTTGGTCTTTAGATGTAGAAGCAGTTGTTCTATGTCTCATTTTAATTGCCATCTTAACATCGTTTAGTGTTGGTTGTACATTTTGGGCATGCTCAGAAAACACTACAATGTCACCAATTAACTCACTCAAATATCCTACTCTTTTTAATATTCTCTTCTTTATTATTTCATTATTTATTAAAAACAAACGAGTTAAAAATTCTAATCCCATGTCAGCAACTGGATCTTGGTATTCTTCAATTCCTTTATCCTTTAATAATGCCCGAATCCAAGTCATAATTTGTGGTTGTTCTTCACTCATTAAAAACTAAGTGATTTTTATTCAATCTTTTCTTTTTTCTTTTTTTTTGTTTTTTTTTTAACATTACCTAATAGATTTAAAAACATTTTCAATGAGGTTGAAGAATATTATGAATACTAATAACTCGTTTAACTCGTTTTAAACCATGGTTTCGTTTTGGTTTCTTTTCCTCCCTTTTTTTGTGATATTGATAATCTTCACTACTATTTGACATTGTCGAATCACTTTGTAAAAAGATTTTATCTAATTCTTCCTGATTTATTGATGATTCTTCAATTCCACTTCCAAGAACATCACATGCACGTTTTACTACTTCTAGTTCATCTTTAGTAATCCCACTTTCTTTCTTTAGTTTAATGTTATTAGATGCTGTTAAAAATATAGATGAAGCTTGCTCAAATAAATGTACTTCTGATTGTGCTAATTCTTTAAAATCCTCTTCAAAATCTTCTTCGTTCATTGATACATCTTCTTCAATTGAAGTTGAGGTTGTTTGAGTTTGGTTTCCACTAATCTTTTCATTTTCTTCTAATTTTTTCATTTCTTCTTTTGAGTTTTGTTCCTCACAACAGACACTAGTGTGAGACATTGAACATACTTCTGTTTGTTGTTTTAATACACCATTATTTTCTCGTGGTTGATCTGTGTTTTGGTTTTCTTTTAATTCATTTGTCATAATACCTTGATTTTTATTGTCAACAGTATGTATTGTCCTTTTTTCTATACCTGTCATTTCTTTTCTCTTTCCAAGCACAGGAGATGAATTATCAAATACAGACAATGGGAGTGTTTTCTTTTCAGTACCAAAGCAATTTTTAGATGAGGTGTTATTCTCTAAAACAATATCATTGGAAGCCATTAAATAAGCACGTTCCAAGTCATTCATTCCATCTTGAGTAAATGAAGGACAAGAATCAGAATTAGCTTGACATCCACAAGACATAGTGTGTTTTGTGGTTTTGAGTTTAGTTCTTTTTCGACATTTCTTCAATATCTTTTTATTAGAAGTTTGGTAACTTTTCTACCAACATATATTCTTTAAATTCATCATTTCATCATCACTCTCAAAAACTCCATAATTGAGTGATGTTATATATAACAAAATATAATATAACCAAAAACTTGAAAATCAGTTTAATGAAAATAAAACAATTAGGACATAATGAAATAATGATAGTATCAAAGTATTTTGATGGTATTAATGATTTTATTAATTTAGAATTAGGTGTTAAAAGGTATAGAGGAAATATGGAACGATTTCGTTTTAATCCAATTCCTTTAGATGACTATTCAAGAAAGTTCTTTCCTAATATTGAAACACTAAACTTATATAACAAAGATGATATGATATTTAATGATGGAAAAATATTTAAACAAATGATATGGTATAAAGTAGAATATTCAACATATTTAAAAGAAAAAGAACAAGGAAATGAATGTAAAAGTATTGAATATACAGAATATGATAGAGAAGAGTTTGGAGATGAAATACCTCCAGAGGTTAACTCGCTTGGAGATAATTGTTTTGAAGGGTATGACTCTTTTAAAATGGTAATACCTTCTTCTGTAACTAAACTTGGAATGAAATGTTTTAGTACATCAGAAGTAGAAGATATTTCAATTAGTAATGCTGTTATTTCTATTGGAAATGCATGTTTCTCTTTCTGTACAAATTTAAAAAAAATTCAATTACCAGAGAATATTTGTATTATCCCAAATGAATGTTTTGCAAGTTGTACAAATCTTTTAAATGTGACAATTCCATCTTCTGTCTCTTCACTTGGAAATAATGCCTTTTCATTTTGTTCATCATTATTAGAATGTAATTTACCTATTTCATTGCGTTCTATTCAGAATAATTGTTTTAATGGTTCTACATCATTAACATCACTTTCTTTACCAATAAATATATCTAATATTGGAATGAAAGTATTAAAAGGATGTTCTTCTCTCAAAAGTATTGATGTACCCGAGCCATATTATTTATTTAATAGATTTGTATTGTTTAATAGAGAATTGATAGGAATAAAACTACCAAAAAGTCTCAAAGAAATCAATCATACCCATATTCAATTTGACTTGCATCAAAATCATTTTGAAATTCCTCGTACTTGTACTTCAATAGGAAGTTGTTGCTTTGCATATTGTCACTCTTTGAAAAGTGTTAGTATTTATTCTAATATCACTGGTATTAAAGATAGGGCATTTTATGAATGTAATAATTTAACAAGTATCTGTCTTCCTAATACAATTAAAGAACTTAATGAATATACATTCGACTCATGCACTTCACTAAGTTCTATTCACTTTTCTAATAAACTAGAGAGTATTAAGGAAAGGTGTTTTCAAGGCTGTCTTTCTCTGAATCAGATTGATATTCCAACAACAGTCACTTTCATAGGAGATGAGGCACTTCCAACCAATTATGAATAATAGTGTTATCGATTTGAAATAACTGGTATTGAAACACTTATTAATTCACAAACCATTTTTTTTGTTACGTTTTATCTTTCTTTTAAGAAATGTACTTATACTCAAAGTACATTTAAGAGTATGTGTAAAATTTTACAAGTTTGGTTGTTATTATTTAAATAGCTTTAAAATGTAGTTTGATTATTAAAGTGGTACAAGTATGTGTCAAATAAAATTATAATTACAATCTTGCATTGTAAATATAAAAATAATTAATGTATTGGTAAATAAACAGTTTTGTGCTATAAATGATGATAATCTAAAGAGGGAATAAAATAAATTAGCATTCAATCTAAATTTATTTAGAGAGAAAGTGTGAGAAGTGTCAGAACATAAAAAGTATTGTGGATTGTTTAAATAACAAAATGAATGAACAATTATCATATAACGTATGGAAATTTAAAATAAATTTCAAATAATAAAACACTAATCATAATGATTTAGAAATACCAAAAATAACTATAAAATATTCTTCATTAGATTCTGTTGTAATTTTAGATTAAAAATAGTCTGGTAAAAATAATATAATATTTCACAACTTAGCATTTCTATATCATCATTAATAGTATAATACATTGAATAGAATCGAAGAGCAAATTAATATATTATCACTTCTTTTTTATTATTATCATACTTAAATACAATCTTTATATGTGATTTTTTGTATAATTCTCATTGAATGTTAATAAAAAATCAATTTTAAATATTCCTATTTTTATTCTCTTGTCATTTCTTATAGAGGTTATAATAAAAATAAAACTCATAACTTGTAAAGACTACAAAAATTAACGATAGAATATAATATTCTTTTTTTAGAAAAGAACAAAACAAAATAAATTGGTAATAATAAATTTTGAGAAAATACCAAATGATAACATATTTTCTTTGAACATATAACATAGTTATATCATTCATTTATGAATGTAAAATGTCACATTTGAAACAGAGTATTTCTTTTTTAAACTAGAAAAATATGAATAAGAATAAATACTAATGGGAACAAATTTTTTTTTAAAAATGAATTTTGGATAATAAGGAATTAATTAAGTATTAATAGAATTAGCTTCTATTGTTAATGGCTCAGTGGAGACCAATCTCAATGAATCTTCTTGTAGCAGCTATATCGAGTATTATTTGTTGTAATAGAAGCAGTATTCCATGACATCAATCATGTTTTTTATTACAATGGTTTTTTAATTTCTTTTTCGATGTCAATTTCAATTTTTATTTCTTTAATTAATTTATTACTTGAATTATTCATTAATCCATTTATTGAAATTACTACTGGATTTATTTTGACATATTTTAATTTTTCTATTTTCATTAGCTTGTTCTTTAATTCCTTATACTTATTTCTTTTCTTCATTTACACTCAATTAATACTGTGATATTCAACATTAGTCATATCAAATAATAGACCAGTTTTATTCTTTTTATCTAATACATATATATCTGATATTTTGTGGTATTGTCATTCACTTTTAGGCATGATTTGTTTGTTCAATATCATAGTGATATCTTTATATTGGAACATTGTTTCATATGGAGGTTTTTTATATTGATTATTTCATGTATATTTTCTTATTAATCAATATTATTATGCCAATATTGTCATGTTTCTCTATTTGTGATTTTTTATGATAAATACAAGATAGTAGAATGTGTTCTACTGTAACTCTCTTGTCTTTACAAAGTGTTGAGTATTTCAATCTTTCATTTTTCATTATTTTTGCTTTCTATACAAACAAAATATTGCTCCATCTTGCATTTTAGTTAATTGGAGGAATGCATTCTTTTTAATATTGATGGAATTCCATGCTTTCACTGTAGTAGTTTTATCTACTCCTTTTGACTCAAACCATCTTCTAAAATGTTCACTTATTTGATGATACTTCCATTTTTTGATGTATTTGTCATTAATTTCTTTATTTCTACTACTACTTCTTTTTCTTTTTTCTTTTCTATCCCTTCATTTATTATTTCTTCTATTTTTGTTTCATTTATTTTATGAATTATTGTTTTTTAATTCTATTCAATATTCCCTTCTTAGTGTACCACCTATCTAATATGTTATTTCCTATTTCACTTTCTCTGGTACAGTAGTGCATCACTGTTCTTACTAATTCAATAACATATTCGTCCCTTATGTTTATTAATCCTTCACCCATTTCTTCTAGAGGGACATATAACCTATCTTTGGAGTTTCACCAATGTATTTTGCCTTTCTTATTTATTTTCTTATCTCCAAATCAATTTTGTCTAGGTCAGTGATTTTCAAATTTACAACTGATGCTGAATATCTGAAGATAGGGATTACTTCCATGTTTATCCTTGTAATATATCTTCTATTACTACTTTCATCACTGTTTATTTCTTCCTTTTTCTTCATCATTTTTTTTCTTTGATGATTTTACAATTGAAGGTGTAATCAATTTCATCGGACTGCCATATTCCTAAATATTTATACAAATCCTCACCTTCAACTACGGGGATGTTTTGCATTCCATTTGGTATTTTCTTATTGTTTTTTAATACCAATCCTGATTTTTTCTCATTCATTTCAATATGTAACTTATTATTTCTTTAATTTCATTGTGGATTATTCCCATTTCTTCACTACTTTCCGTCATTATTCTCATTTCATCAATATATAATGTGTGATTTGATTTTGGGAATTTCTCTTCGATGATTTGAGAAATTACATTCATCTGAATGATGAAGAGTAGAGGGGATAAGGAATCACCTTGTAAAATTCCTCTATTTAATTTAATACTACCTAGATATTCATTAAATTTATAACTGATGAATATCTTCAATCTAGTCATCATACTTTCAATCATGTCAATGATGACACCCTCTACATTAAAATATTTTAATGATTCAATTACCCATTCGTGGTTGACTGTGTCATATGCTTTCTTGATGTCATAATATGACTCCACATATTTTGGGTATTTCTCTTCTTTCTGCTGCTTTAACATATAACTATTAATTATTCCTTCTTTAGCAGCTAAAGATTGTAATTTACATCTCAATTGTTTATTACTAATTTTCAATGATTCATTATTCATGTTAATTCTTCTGTGAATCTTTTCTTTTAATATTGATGTAAATACTTTCATAATTACATTTGTACAACTGATAGGACGATAATTAGTGACATAATTCATATCACCTCCTTTGTGGATTAATAAAGTTCTTCCACTTACCATGTCTAATTTGATGTTTTGAATGAAGTTCAACCATTCATTGAAGATATTGAGAATGATTTCTCTTGATGATGACATCCTTTTCCAATAATACCCATATATAGTGTCTATTCCTGGTGTTTTCCAGTTACTTATTCTCATTATACTTAAATTTAATTCATTTATTGTTATTATGACACTATCATAGTTTCTATATCTTTCATTCCATGAGGTGATTTGTTTTATTTTCCATTTCTCTTTATTTAATTTCACCTGTGTTTCATATAACGATTTCCAATATTCTAAAGTAATATCGTTATTTTGGTATATTTCATTATTTGTTTCTTCCTTATTCTAATTTTCTTGTTAGAATCAAACATGATTTTATTTGTATTGATTCTGATTATTTCATCTTTATTAAATTTAATTCTTTCCTTTATCATAGTCATCATATATTTTAGGTACTTTATTCTTTCTAGTGCTTTAACTTTTATTCCTTCTTCATCATGTTCATTTAATTTCATGATGCACTTTATTCTGTACAATTTCATTGACCAAATCTTCTAGTCTATTGATTTTCTTTAGGATTTCTTTTATTTCATCAAATTTATCTCCTATTATTTTATTTTGGAGATAGAGGTGCATAACCATTGAAATCCTCTTCATATCATCTTGTAGATAATGCATTCTGCTTCTTGATATTATCCAATCTATTATTAATTTCCATTATTAATTGGTCAGTTTCTTTTCTTTGAAAGTAGTAATTAATGTTTGAACATTTTTCTATTTTCATTTCTTTTATTTTATTGATGAGAGTGTTAATATATTCTTCATCAATTTCAGTAGAGTTATTCTTTAATATGATGTTTTTTATTATTAAATTACACTCTACTCTTCTATTATATCATTTACTTTCATTTTAATGTATTATTTAGTATTTTCTTTTATTTTATGTGATATTTTAATATATTTAATATATTCTTTTTCATTATTGACATTGATGTTTGTCACTTTTATTATATTCTCTATTTGTTCCCATCTTAATTTCTTATATAATTTCTTGTTTAACCAATTAATTTAAAACAATACAACACTTCAATTAAAATTCTATTTCTTTGTTCTGTTGTATTTCTTGTCTGATTATCATCTCTTGTTTTTTGACAATCAGTGCTTTGCTTTCCTCTTCGATCTCCACTACTGTCTTTTTCATAGGAGTAGTTTCGTTCATCTCCATCGTTCCTGATGATGCTTTCCTCAGTACTGGTTGTGTATTTATCACAAGTGTCATCGTTTTCTTCTTCTCCAGTTCCTTTTGTGAGATAAAATTTACAATATCATCTTGTTGTTTTGATATTATTTGTTTTTGTGTCTCATTTTCTTTTTGTGTGTTGTCTAATTCTTCTCTTGTTCTTTCTGCAATCTCATGACTTATTATTGCAATTTCTTGATATTCAGAGATTTGTTTTTCTTTATCTCTTATTTCTTTCTTTAATTCTTCAGTGTTTTTTTCTATCATTTCAATCTTCTTCTCTAATGTGTTTGTATTTTGTTCTAGCATTTTGTTTCTCTTTTTCAACTTTTCAATTTCTTCTTTCATTCCTTCATTTTCTTTTTCCATCTTCTTTTTATTAGCTTGAATACTTCGGATTTTTTCTTCTTTATTATTTACTTCTGTGATTTTTCTTCCTTCTATCTCATTTATTTTTCCTTGTAGTTTTAAGTTTTCTTTCTTCTAATTTTTCATTTTCTTTCTTCATTTCTTCATAATTCGTTTGAATCTTTCTATTTTGTGTTTTCATTTCTGTAATTTCTTCTTCAAATTCTTTCCTAACTACTTCTTTTGCTTTTCTCCTCATTTCTTCTGAGATGGCTTGTTCTTCTTCCATTCTTTTCATACTTAATTCTTTAACTTTTTCTTTTAATTCAGTAATTTGATTTTTCAGTGCAAGTATTTCTTCTTTTTCTTCTTCTTCTTCTATCTTTTCTTCTTTATTTTTTGTTTCTTCTTGTATTTTCTTTATACTTTCTGTTTCATTTATTATTCTTGCTATTTTACATCTATCATTCATTTCTTTAATTGGGTTTTTGTTTTTAATTTCTGCTTCTATAGCCTTAATGTCTTTTTCCTCCAATCTTTTGTTTTTTCTTTAAACTCTTCTTTCGTCTTTTCAATTATCTTTTTCTTTTTAATTGAATATACTTCTTGGAGGATATCATACCATTTTTTCTTCTTACCTTCATATTTTTTAAGTATTTCTTCGTATTCTCCTTCTTTCCATTCACTTGTTATTTTTTTTATTCTTTCTTGTATCTCATTTATTGTTAGCCATTTGTATTTGTTATTTGTATAATCTTTATTGTTATTGTATTTATCTTGTTTTTTATTTGTTTTTCTTTGTGTCTTTCGTCTTCTAAACCCTTTTTCCTTGGTGTATCATTTACCTTTATTATTATAATTGTTATGCCATTTATTGCTATTGACATTTCTTTTTTTATTGTATGACCTTGGATTTCTATGTCTTGTTTGCTTTTCTTTACAAGACTCTAAGGTTTTACACAATAGCCATGGCATTAAAATTTGTTGTATTTCCTGCATTGGAAAAGGATATATTTTTAAAATAATTAAAATAAAACATTGTAATAAGAATTTAATGAAAAAAGAAAAGAAATTCATTTATTGGTTTTTACAATAAGCATAATAATTCGTTTGGTTATAGTTATCTTTATAATGCTCTACCTTATTTTTAATTCATTTTTAAATCTTTATTCCTATTCTTCAATTTTATTTAATAAGACTTTTCTTTTTTAGCTTCATTTTTTATGAGTTATATGATAGAGATACAATGAATAATTGCTTTATTTGATAACCAAAATGACTTGTTCAAACAGGTTAATGAAAGTACATTAGATTTATTATTATATCCATTTATATTAACAAGAAAAATTCAATAAAAAAAATTCAGAATATCACAACACATAATATATTGTTTCATTAAAATAATAATTTTTAATTCCATTAAAACTATTTCTGTGTATCTTTGATATAAACAAATAAGTAACAAAAAATATTTATTTATACCTTCATTTGGCATAAACACTAGAAATAGTTAATAGTAGAAAAAAATAAATAGATTAGGACAAAATATCATTAAAAATATAAAAAGAGTTATCTAAGATTTAATTCTGTTAATTAAAGGATTTTAAGTTATTAATATATTTAAATCATTTTATTTTATATGAATCTGATTCATAATAACTTTAGCCCAAAAATACAAACTAAAAGTAATTTCTCTCAAATAAAAAACTATAAAAATACGTATCAAATTTTCTTTTTGAAAGAATAATAAAAATGAGATCTACATCTCTTATTTATTCAAAAAAAAATAAGCAAATGCCACGTTCACAAGATGAAAAAAACACTGAAATGTTAAGAAAAATGTCACAACTTCCTGGAAATAAAAGATGCATGGATTGCCAAGCAATTGGTCCTGTTTATGTAGTTATTGATTTTGGTACTTTTGTATGTCAAACATGTAGTGGTATTCATAGAGAGTTTGGACATAGAGTCAAATCCATTTCTATGGCAACTTTTAAGCCAGAAGAAATAGCTAAAGTTAAAACAATCGGCAATGAAAATGCTAGAAGAATTTGGCTTGGTCGATGGACAACAGCTGATTACCCATTACCTGAAAGTGGAAATGAAAGAAGAATTAGAGAGTTTATGAAATTAAAGTACCAAGACAAAAAGTGGTTTGACCAAGCTGCTTACAACCAAATTATGAATGGACAAACACCTCCCCCTGTCACTCATCATCCTGTTGTTCAAGAAAATATACCTAATAACACTCAACCAATTCAACAACAACCACAACAAATTCACAATACTCAGAACGCAGGCTTTTGGAAAGACGACGATAATGTTGGACCAATTAAACCAGCCCAACAACAACACAACCAAAGCATTTTAAATATTCAAAATGAACAACCTAAAAAGAAAGTTGATTTCATGGCTCTCTTTGACCAAGCTATGCAACAACCTGCTCCTTCCCAACAACCTCAAATCCAACAACAAGCACCAATGGACCTTTTTGCTCAACAACCAAATCCTTCTCAACAATATCCTGCTTTTAATATGCAACAACAATACCCTATGTTTACTCAACAACCAGCAGCTTCTACTCTTATGCAACAACCAACACAACCTATGTTTACTCAACAACCAATACAGCCTATGGGCTATCAACAACCAACACAACCAATGAATTACCAACAACCAATGATGCAACAACAATACTCTATGTTTACTCAACAACCAACACAACCTATGGGCTATCAACAACCAGCAGCTTCTACTCTTATGCAACAACCAGCAACCACTACTCCTGTTCAACAACCAAAACCACAACCGAAACCAGATGTTTTTGCTTCACTTGGGTCTTATCATCCAAAAGCAAAAACAACACAACCTGAGCCTCAAGCAGCCCCTGCACCATCTGGAAGTGATGTCTTTGATTTTATCTAAAGGAGAAGACTTACTTTTTCTTTTACTTGTCTCATGGAAAATAGCTAAAAGTTTATTGATTGGCTGTTTTTTGTTAATATGTTCTATTTTTACAACTCAACTTTTAGTTATAAAAATCACAAATTATTTGATAATAAATGATAACAACAATTATTGAATTAATATTAAAAGAGAATAAAACATAACTTTCTCTAATAACAAAAAAAGAAATACATTAACAAAAGATAAGTATTATATCCATTGTTTAATGCTTTACTTTAATAAGTTCCAACAATGTATGTTAAATAAATTGATTTAAGAATTAGAGAAGAAAAAGAACATTTCATTATTTGTTGGTTTTAGAATAAGTGTAATAATAAAATAAGTAAATTGGATTAGGAAGAAAAACAAAATTGTCCTTTGGTTCAAGAACAACAAAAAGAAAAAGAGGCAACTGTGGCAGATAAAGTTCTTACAATTTAAACAATCAGTCTTTCCATAAAGAAAATTCAAAAATGAGTTAAATAAAAAGAAATTTGTTGCAACTAACCTTATCAAATGGAATAATGAACCACATCAAATCCAATACCAAAAGTCTAATATTTATGTATTTATTGGATATATTTATATTTTAGTAGTCTCTTAACAAATGTGAAAAGAAGCATCAAAGACTATTAAAGACTAATAATTTTATGTTTCATCATCAAATAATTTGTTGAATGAAATAGATTTAATACATAATAATGCATAAAACAAATCAATGAACCATATTAAAACAAACCAATATAACACGTTCTAAGTGTTATTAAGAGAATAGAATGAAATAAATGTATTAAAGAAAGAGTACAAACAAAAGAAAGAACAAAGATAATGGAAGAATGAATAAAATATAATAAGAATTATGAGCAACAAAAAGAAAAAGAGAAGGAACTAGAAAAAAGGAAATAAAATTAATGGATAGAAGAGATGTTGAACGAGGGTATGATTCAAAGAAACAACGAAATGTTCAAGAACGTAAATACTCAGAAATTGTAGCATTAAAACGGTATAATAATTGGGTTAAAGCGTGTTTAATCAGAAAATATATTCCAGAACATTCAAGAGTATTAGATTTTTGTGGAGGGAAAGGAGGTGATTATATTAAATTTAATCAAAATAGTGTTAGGAGTGTATTAACATGTGACATTTCAGGAGAGTCATTAAAAGATGCAGAAAAAAGATATAAAGAAAGAGAGCCAGCATTTAGATTTAATTTGAAAACAATTAAAGAAGATTGTTTTAGTTCAGAATTGTTAAATAAAATACCAAGCAATAGTTCATTTGAAGCAGTTTCATGTCAATTTGCTATTCATTATAGTTTTGAAACAAAAGAAAGAGCTTATCAAGCAATTTTTAATTTAACAAAATATTTAAGAAAAGGAGGATTATTTGTTGGAACAACAGTCAATGCATATAGAGTAGTAAAGAAATTACGTACTGTTCCAGGAAATAAATTTGGTAATGAGTTATTTACTATTCGTTTTGATGAACAATTTGATAAAGAGAATATACCTACATATGGAGCAAAATATTATTTTGAATTAAAAGATGCTATTGACAATTTACCAGAATATCTTATTCCATTTTGTGAATTTCAAAAAATCTGTGAAGAACATGGATTGAAATTAATTGGATTTTGGGATTTTCATCAATTCTATAGAGAATGGATAAAGTTTCAAGAATATAATGAATTACTTGATAAAATGGGGAAGATAGATTATATGCCAAATAATCAATGGGAAATTATTAGTTATTACTGTGCTTTTGTCTTCCAAAAAGTTCGCTGATTAAAAATAATTTTGTTTTATATATCATTTTATTTTTATGAAAAATACAACTTCAATCTTAAAATAAAACAGTTTCATAGAAATGGATTTTGAGAAAGGTGTTTGTTTTGTGGATGATGTTTAAATACTTTTCAAGTTGTAAATACAAAATAAAGAATTACACTCATTTTGAATAGAATTGTTTGGTTCGATTTAAAGCAGGGAAGTTGGAATTTAATAATAAAACTCTTATACCAAAGTTAGAGAAAGGGATTATTTCTGTTTTTGTTGTTTGTTTTATATTTTCACTACAAGACAAATTTCAAAAGTATTGTAATTTATTGATTTAGTCATTAGAAGGGATGATTACCTTTCAGTGGAAAAAAAAAGAAACTCCAATTATAGACACTGAAATGATTGTATTTCCTGGAGATGCTATTGCACAACCTATACCTCAAAAAAATAGTGGATATGTTCAAATTAAAGAAACTAAACGATCATTTTTCTTTTGGAATCAAGAAAATGACATTAATAGCTTTTATAAAGGAATTGAGTTAATGCAAGCTGTATTTAATGGAGAACAAATCCAAGCTTTTGACACAACAATTCCAGCACAAGTTCAACCTATATATACTATCAAAAATGGAAAGATTGTTATTGCTGATGTTTCCTTAAATAAAGTACTTAATTGTAAAACAATTGAAGAAACATTAAAAGAACATCCTGAGGATGTAAGAGAATTAGCACTTCTTTGTCCTCCTGAAGAGATTGAAGGAAAGACCAATGAAGAACTAATTCCTGTTATCATTGATAACATTCGTTCGAATCAATTTCAAGAAACATTACGTCTGATTGAAAATGCAATTCATGCTGGAGAAGGAGATGTCATTTGCCAACAGACAGGAGCAGAATTACATCACCAAGGGATTGGAGGAATGAGAGTAGTGTTATTAGATATTGTTAATCGTTATAAATTATAAAGATTACAAACTTATTTTTTGATTTAGAGCATTTAAAACTTATTTTTTATAATAAAATATTTATTGTTTAGTTTTAATGTTCAAATTCTCACAACTTATTGAAGGTAGAAGGAAAAAGCAGATATTTTTCTTAATAGTTCATAACTAAAGTTATAATAAAATACTCAAAACTCGTGTTTTTAGAAAAAGCTTATTCGATGCAAACAATGCAATAACTGAATCGGTCTTTTTATTGTCGATGTTTTTTAACTCTTTCCTAGATAAGTTGTTAATAATACTAAGTGTTGTAAGTTTTTCAAACTAATTTTCTTAATACTCTAAGTTAGATGTAATATGTCTTGTTGTTATCATAGATTTATAAATACTACTTCAATAAAATTCACTTTCTCTAACTTGACTAGATATGGTTTGTGTTAGTGCTGTTATCTATTTTTTATTTTTAAAGAGTAGTTACACATTTTGAGTAAGTCCTTTCATTATAAATGTGATTTAGGTTTAATAGTACAGAATGGTATGTATCTTTTATTATATTATAAAACAGAAGAGACTAATTAACATCTTTGGGGTTTCTTATAGGAACAATGATACATCTGTTGAAAAATAACAAGGATAGTATTAATTATCAACTAGACTTTATTTCAGTTCAATAATTTATTGTTTATTAATTGAGAAGATATTTTTAGTAATTAATGTAAAGTAGTGAAGTAAAATTTATTTAATTGTACTTAAAAAATAAAGTATAAGAAGAAACTCTTAGTACATTCTTAGTGATTATATTCTTTTTTATTTCGTTATCAATGAAATTAATTAACATACTATGAATAACTCTATTAACTTGGATTTTTAATTCTTCAAAAAACTCATTCATCAGCACAAAGAATAGAAGTTTTGTGTGTTATAATATTAAACTACTTTATATACTAGTAGAATAATTGTCATTCTTTTTTCTCAATATATTTTCTTTTTATTAATACAATTAGTTTCTTCTATTTCATCAATAACGAGTCAGAGATTTATAATTATGTTTGTTATACATAAGCAAAACAATGACTATGAATTTATTATTCCTAACTCGAAATAGATATGTTAGTTTTATAAACAAAATTATTCTTCAATAATAAATAGAATAACATATTCACATTAAAGAAATAATCAGTAATTTCATCATTAAGAATATATTATTCTTATGTGTTTGAATAAGCATTATTATTAATTTAGACACAATAAAATGCTATTACTTTGACCACAAGACAAACAATATTTAAAAGAAATATTTATATCCTTTGTTCAGGTTCAACATTTTCATTATTATTAAAACTTATCCTTTTTTCAACATGAGTCACTGATTTAATAAGCAGGTTGAAAGTGTTAGTATTAAAGAAAAATAAAAGATAGTCTCACTAGTCATTAAAATATCAAAAAAATAAAGAGACTCATACAAATTTAAAAAAATGTTGAAAAGAAGTTCTTTCAGTAAAGAAAGTATTTGGTGAATGTTTTATTGTCTGTTTAAACTCGTTTTATCTCTGAATAAAAAGAAATGCACATGAAAACAATAGTTGGTATAAATGAAAAATAAAATTGACTGTGAATATTATTAGATAAAACATAACGTGAGTATTTTAATTAATTTATAATAATATCAAACAAGCACTATCATTTATTTTTTCTTTAAATTAACTAATTGAATAAAAGAAAAGAAAAATAACATAAGAACGAGGATAATGTCACTGAAAAAATTTTATTTTTCAATTTAATTGAAGAAAATAGATAACAGAAATAAAATTAGATAGATAAGTGTTAATAGAATTGTCAATTATTCATTGGTTAATGGAGATTAATCATATCATATATCATTAAAATGAGTAATGTATTTTTATTTATTATTTCTTCTTGTTTTATGATTAAATCATTTTATTTGTTTTATTGTCTTTTCATTCTTATTTTTGTTTCATTCTTCTTTTTATCTTCTTTTTCATTTTTCATCATTTTAATTATTCTCATTCAATTATCATTTCTTTATTTCTTATTTTATATTGAATGAATATTTCATTATTATTATATTATTATTTATAATTTCATTTATTATTAAT